ATCTTGTACCACAGGGGAGGAAGGCGAGGATATAGGTATAACACTCCAATTTCTAATTAAGTCCACTGAGGAGAAATCCTTGAAGAGATGATGTACTTTCATCCAGTGCATAACCTTGATGGTGACAACCTCCACAAGTGCTTCCTTGGATTTTTCTTTCCCTAGGAAGATCCTATTATTATTCTCTTCCCAAATTGACCATAGAGTCAAAAAGGTTCAGCACACCCAAGGGGGGGTTCCATCTGTAACCAAACAAAGAAGAGAACCAATTCCACAAATAATATGCAAAAGGACAAGAAATCAAAAGATGAGTCGTTGTCTCACCATTTCTTAAGCAAGGGTAACAAACATGTGGGGAAAGGCTCCGGTCTGGCCTTTTTCTTTGAAGTACATTCGTAGTATTGATCTTTTGAAGAGCCACTTCCCAGCAAAAGGCCCTAGCTTTTGGCGGCATAGGAGAATACCAAATTTCTTTAGCAAGAAAAGAGACAGACACAAAAGAAGACTGGACTGCGTTGAAGAAAGATGAACAAGAGAAAGTCCTTGAAGAGGACTCTTTCCAAATTCTACTATCCAGGCAGGAAAGTCCTTGAAGAGACAGACACAAAAGAACACAGTGAATAACTCATTTGCAGAAGCCAATCCTGAATCCCTCAGCCCTCTTCTCAAACCCAAATCCCAAGTCCCCTCAGATACACGAAGTGAGGAGATGGTTTTGAATTTATTTAGGGAAAGAGAATACGTTACTAGGAATTTATCCTTAAGGGGGTGCTCCCAAGCCAAAGGTCCTCCCAAAACAAAATTTTATTACCTGAACACACATCAAATCTGATGAAAGGCAAAAAGGAAGACGAGACTCTAGCAATTGCTTTCTAAGGGGAGAAATGAGAAGCCCTAGGGTCAATGCCAGCATCCCATCCATTCATTGCCATCCCATTAATACTTTCCACCACCAAGTGCCACAAACTGTCTTGCTCCAAAGGAAATCCCCACAACCATTTTCCTAACAAAGCTACATTTCTTAATCTGATACTGCCAATGACTAGACCTCTCGCTTCCTTTTTCCTAGAAACTACTTCCCACTTCACTAAATGGTCCTTTTTTGAGTCACCCGGTTCTCATAGAAAATCTCTCATGAGYTTTTCTAACTTATTGGCAACCTTGGCAGGAAGCTTAAAGGTAGACAAAGAATACACCGGAATGTTGGCCAAAGTGGACTTGATTAAAGTGATTCAACCCCCTAGTGACATATAATTTATCTTCCACTCTACTAGCTTCTTAGTGAATCTTTCTAAAACTGGTACCAAAAATTTTATGTTCTAGGATTTCCCCCCAGGGGCAGACCTAAATATACCAGAGGCCAACCACTTACCTCACAACCTAAAGCTCTAGCCACCAATTGCACTTCATCATCCCATAAATTCACCCCTGCTACACAACTCTTGTTCCAATTGATTTTCAGATTAGAGACTCTCTCAAAATGCATCACCAGCAATCTCAAATTATCCATCTCCTCAATTTCCCCTTCACAAAAGAGAATGATATCATCCGCAAATTGTAGGTGAGTGACAATCACTTGTTGCCTCCCAACTCTCCATCATTTCAGTAGATTTCTTGAATCAGCCCTATAAATCAAGACACTTAGGACATCCACTACTAAGGTGAAAAAGAAAGGTGACAAAGGATCTCCTTGTCTAAGGCCCCTCTTTGCAGGAAAGAAGTCCCTAGCTACTTCATTCACTAAGATTGAGAAGTGACAAGAGGTAATACAACCCTTCATCCACTTACACCATCTCTCCCCAAAACCTCTATTCTTCAACACTTCTAGCAAGAAATCCCAATCCACCAAATTATAAGCCTTTTCTAAGTCAAGTTTACAGATCAGACCCTTTTCTCCTTTTCTCTTTTTGTAATCCACACATTCATTGGCTATTAAAATCTGATCAATAACTTGTCAAGGGGCCTTTGTGAAAGTAGATTTCATGTTGTTAGCAAGTTTCAAAACTCAAAGTGATGAATATGATGATCATACTAACCCTAAACTTCAGATGCATAACAAAGGCATGCATGGGCCAGACAGATAAAAGGACTAAATACCATAGGTTAAAGGGTAAACTCCAATGACCACCAGGGGAGGGGGTCACTTTACTACCTAAACTATGAAAAGTTACAGATACCCCTGTGAACATTCCCAAGTGATGTTAACAGCAAAGGGAAAATGACAGAATTAACCCTGTTAGTAAATACCTCCATAGTGCTCAACTGTGGGCTTCTACCAGATGTCCGGTGCAACGAAGAATGTCTACCATGGACAGGTAGTGGTCTTCAGATGGTTGAATCCCATAAGCTTCCTTCAAACTTGAAAATAAATAATGTCCTTGCTCCATCATCAATGCAGGCTACTACATGCAGTAAGCACCCTAATAAATGTAAACCCATTTGGCTTTATCTCTGTCTCTGTCATCTCAGAGAACAATCTATTGATGAAACAGCCTGTCCATGAACTGCAAACCCCACATCATTGCAGTATAACAGAATGCATTCCACTTAGTCATTCCTTCAAAAACATTGATATGCATCCACCAATGTCCCACTTTTGCAGTATATATCTATCAAAGGATACCCATTGACAACATTCCAAGGAGGCCCTAATTCTGCATGCTCAGGAATATTCCAAACCCAACTAGCATACTTCAATGCACCCAGTTGGGCACAAGCTCAAAAGACATCCACAATGTGACTTAATCTGTTTATGCACCTACATACTGCATTTTTTCAAACAACCTTAGTGCTTCCTTTGGCCTTCAATTTTGGGCATAACCTGTGACAATTTCCGCCCATGCCAGCATGTCTTTCTCAGGAAAATCATCAAACAACTCTGCAACTGCTTCCATATACCCACTTTTTGCTCAAGCAACATTCGACAGCATCCATGAGATTACATAACAGGCATCTCATCAAATATTCAGCAGCCACATTCTAGATATATACATTGTGTTGCATCAATAAAGATCTGACTCAAACCTACCAATCAAAATAGTTTGGCAATGTATTTGCCACCCAGGTTGACATCAAGGGCTGCAGCACAAGCCTTAAAGAGGGCTGAGAAAGTGAAAAATACAGGGCCTGTACCTTCCCTTCTCATGCACTTGTAGAGCAAATATTAACTCAGTGAAGGAACTGTGGAGAGAGTAGCCATGAATAAGCACCATCTAAAGAAATGGATTCAGGTGCTGGACCTGATCAAAAAGGAGATGGGGGGTAAGGATTCATGGATAAATAAAATTTAGTAAAGCATCCAGATGAGCTTGGCCAAGTGAGAACTAAATGAGACCTTGCCAGATGAGACGAGCATGAACTTGCCTGATCTGGTTGAAATCATTGCAGCCATGGAGAATAGAAACAAATCTAGATTCTAAAAGTTTTTTCCGTCGGTGTTGTTCAGAGAATGTAAGAAAGATTAATTGTTGGCTTTGTTGTTGAGAGTGGTAACAACGAGAAGAGGCTAAGAACCTGTTTCCTTCTCAAATGGAAAGAAACAGCAACCATTACAGAATACCATTGGAAGACAGAGGCCTCATCATTCTCATCAGCATGCCAGTTCTATACCATAGGGGTAATTTGGATATTTAAAAATATTTAAAACATCACATGGTGCACACATGACCTTTTACCATCCATTTTTCTGACAGAAGGCTAAAGGAGGTTATTCGATACACTTGTAAAAGTTTTGGGGGAGGGGGTCTGCAACTTTTGATAGTTGAGGTAGTGAAGTGACACAGCCCCCAACTTCAGGGAGGTTTTGGAGTTTACCCTAAAACCAGGAGTAATAGTTCTACAAACTACTTGTCATAGAATGAGAATGGCTATTTACCAAGAATTTCTCACACATCTATCAAAAAAAGGAAAAGAATCTCTCAACTATCCTATCACTTGGGAGACACACACAATAATGAGCATCTGCACATCTAACTATCTATATAAGAGAAAAACCTGAAACCTTAGGCTACATTTGGTCTAAAGAAATAAGAGAGGTGCAGATAGTTAAGTGCATGTTCTTATGGAATACCAAAAAATCCATTGAGAGCCTTCCCTTGACTTTCGGTTTCTCTCTTATTTTCTATCAAAGTTAACACAACCTTAGAGAAGAGAAAAGATCTCAGTCCCCATGAATGGCCTAAGCCTGCAGGTCTTGAATAAGAGAGTAAGACTACGAAGAAAGGTAATAAAAGTGAAGATGAAATATGAATAGGAGGGGATCACAGCATCAGTTTCAAGAAATATTCTAGATAGATCAACTCCTTCCAAACCAGGCCTTTGGCCATGAGATATTCTGTAGTTGGAAGGACAAAAACCAACAAAGAGCCAATGTGGAAAAAGAATCTCAAGCCCTAGCACACAATTACAGGCTCAACTCATAAATAAACCACAAGAAATTATCAAATGCAGCAAAAGTAAATATCAAAGCATCAACATGATTTACACCACAACTGGCTCTAACCTGTACAGGATGCATCTTTCCCCGAAAGGGAAAGGAGAATATGCAAAACCTACGTGCCAAAGCCTCATATCAGACACTTCCTAAAATGAAGTTCCGCCAAAAATTCATAAATTCCACTAATCTGTTTCAGTTTCATCGTAAAAAAGGGAATCAAAATTAAAATATATTTAATGTCAAAGCTCAATATAAGTTTCTAGATAAACAGTCATTACCCGATGCTGGTCCCGGCTATACGGGGTCTTGGCCACCTGGGATGGGTGGACTGGATTCTCGGTACGGACCTAACATCCACGCTCGTCAGCCCGAGATTGTCCAGTCAAAAACCAATCAAAAGGCCCCTTACTTTCACTTCTAGATGGTAAATACTAACTCATTAGCTCAACTGATATGATTATTTTCAACAAATGAGGATTCCTTAAGAATTTCCCTGTGATGTGTCAATTGGAGCAGGCTACGGACGAAGTCGTTTTCATTTCAATTAGAAAATCAGAAACAAGACAGAGAAAAAGAATCCATATTTCCATTTTTAAGTTGAACGTAAATTTCATAAAATCTCAACCAATTTTGATCTCTAGTTACGACTGACAACTGGAAATCAGAATAGATATACACCTCTTGCTATCATTTACTGATACAGAACCCTCAAGATAAAGCCTCGAAAGGGGGAAATGAAAAGAAGAAGAAACTTGGTTTTTAGCTCCTAAAACGTCAAATGGCAACTAATCATCGTCGTTTCTCTTCTTTGGCTTCCGATAGGTTTCTTCGATTTGCTTGGCCTTCAAGAGCCCTGTGTGGGTGACCTTCTTTATGTTGGGAGCGCTGTAGTTCTGGGCAATGTATACCCCACACGCCATGCCCACCAAGAACGAGAAACTGCTCTTGATTATGCCCATATTATACAAGCAACTCCTCCTCTCTAAGAATCAACCTATCGCGACACCCAATGGACCCTGACTGCTGAAGATGCAGGGTCGCTAGTCTTCCCTTAAATTCGTCAGTGCGAACCCTAACTGCTCAAGAACCTTTTAGCCGACCAAAACCGAGTAACTGACCAGTAACCTGATCCATGAAACTGATCAAGATCGTTCGCTCGTAACCCAGGCTCTGAATCCTTTGTTTTCACCAGTACAAGTTATTCTTTGACTTTGAAGGCTGAGTACTGAGCTAATATTAGTTCAGACTTCCGGTATTGGATGTGCTCTCCCGAGTCCTGTGTCTCTGATCGTCTAACTTGGTTTTGCCGAAGCCCACATGATTCAACTTTTCAAGCATAATGGGCCAATATTTAACAGTCAAGCGAGCCCTAGATCAAATGGGTTGGGGCAGAATGTGAAGGCCCATTATCATAATGAGCCAGGTCCGGTCTTGATGCCCAGTTGAATTTAATGCATAACTAAGGTTCCTATTCTGAATCTCCGATGTATTATTAGTTTATTACTTTATCAGTAATGTAATTAACACGTTGCATTTTCAAAAAGAAAATTGAATAAACGTAATAACGATATCAAGATATAAAATATGATCCTATAAAGTATAATATAAATAATATTAAAAATATATAGTTATAGAATTAAATCGGTTTTTTCGTTATCAGATATGATAATCAAAACCAAAATACAAATAAATTGAATAACAAAACTGAATCCGATTGAAAAACTAATTAGGCCAAACCGATTAAAATTTCGATTTTAACCCAATTATGCTCACCCCTAATGGGTTATGAATTTTCCGTGAAACTTATGTTGCTTGGAGTGGTTTGATGAAAATAGGGAGATGGTGGTTGGAGTGATTTTATATTAATATTTAATAAATTAAAACGAATTTGACTATTTGCCAATTTTCCAAAATAAGCATTACGTAAAAGTCYAGAAGAGTGAAAGTTTGAAAGAGTCTTTCACAGTTTCACACTCACTCTTCGACTCTTCGTCTTCCTCAATCTAAAAGAGTGAAAGGCTGAAAGCCTGCGCGGGCGTCAAAGACTAAGCCGCTAAGCGTTTTCCAGAGACCAGAGTCCCAGATTTCTGCTCTTCCGCCCCTTCCTCAATCGTTCTGCACCTCCAGTTGCCGTCGGCGTCACCCGTTATTCTTCTTTTTCTTGCCGTCATTCCCAAACTACACCTGCACCACCTCGCTGGCTGCCGTCGAGTGTCGAGCCTGCACTGCTAACTTGCCGTCGTTCTTCTTCTTTCACCTCCAGTTACAGGCTTACAACAGGTAATTTCTTCTTCTTCTTCTACTAATATTGAATCTGAAGCCTTTTCCATGAATTCATTCGAAGTTTTTTTTCTTGTTTTTTATTTTTATGGAATCTGTGTTCAAAAGTTCCAAAATTTCTCATAAAAAATCCGAAACCTTTTCCATGAATTTCGATTTTAATCGAAATAACCAAACAAAATTCGGTTTAGTTTATTCGATTTTCAAATATTTCAATTTCGGTACAGTTAAATCGATTTTTTCGATTCAGTTTTGAACTGAAAAAGCCAAATGCTCACCCCTATAATAGGTATATGGGGCAAATCAAAAAGAGGAGAGCTATATAAAGAGGACATATGCAAATAAGTGTGAATGCAAATATGTAGAGTGTAAAATGGTTTATATAAATTACAAAATTTGGTTGGTTTTGCACCGATAAATTTACCTTTTTACCAAGCAGATTTAGCTGTAATGGATGCAAACGTGAATTCCAATAAAACATATACTTTTTCTTATCAAAAGCCCACTTGAATACAAATTACTTTTTTTTTATTGATGTACTTTTACATCTTATTATCAATGTAAAAATACATTGGTCTGACATTTGTCAATGCAAAAATGTAATGTTTCCAAATACAGGCAAAAATGAACCAAAGTGCAAATTTACCATGAACCGGGATTTACACTCCCTTTGCATCGTTTCCAAACGCAACCTTAGGTAATGTACTGGACATAAAAGTGTAAAATCTGGGTGTCACTACCATCAATATGGCCGAGGGTCGAGGTTTGGACTGCTTTGGAAGCCCACAATTTGACTCTTAATTTTAGAGGGTGTTCTATCATTATTATTAAGGGTGACTCCAAACTCATTATCCTTCACTTGCAACAAGTTCTCAACCCACCTTGGAGATTAAAGAACAAAACTAATTGGAGATGAAGGAGACGTACGAATATGGCATTAGTTGTTGACACGTCTATCGCAAAGCTAATTAAGCTGCTAACTGGTTAACCCATGAAACACAAAATAGTAATCTGTTGATTATTGGAGATGCACTATCCCCATCTTGTGTAACCCCTCTCAATCTCATCAAAAGAAAAAAATAGTTAAAGAGGATTACATGTCGTGGTCCTGTGGAATGAATTTAAGTTTCCATAGCATAAGAACTCCTTAGGTAGGGATTTCAATAGGTCATTACCTGATCGTACCAAACCAATTATATAGGCTTTAGCTTAATTTTGTTTAGACAAGTAATTGGATCAGTTTTGTTTTTTGCTTGTTTCGAACTGGTTCAGATCCAAACCAATTATTTTGTTAATAATATGTAACAGTTTCCTCATTTTCTCGTAATTTTTATTATATTTTATGTTTATAAGGGTAAATTTGATAGATAATTTATAAACACTTGATATTAACACAAATAATTTACTATTTTACTGTCATTTTTATTAAGATTATATTATCAAAGATAGAGTTTTAAGTTGTTATTTACATAAACAAATATAAATGTCAATATAATCAGGTCTAATTGAGTCTATGGTTTTGTCCCGATTAATAACCAGTTCAAAAGTGGTACAAGCTGTCTCAAACCAGGCATGACACATTGACAGCCTTGTATTTGGGYGATGTTTCTACTTGAAATGACACATCAGCACCACCTAGACATTTTTTAGTTTAAATGTAAATATTCTACTTGATTGAAATTGTTTTCAATGTAAAACCATGTATACGGTATTCCTAAACCTTTATTTGCACTGTACTTATTCGTATTTGTACTCTTCCCAAACTGAGTCTTAACATTCCTTGTAGGAACATAAACTAAGGGTGTTGGGGAAGACATCAAAGCATTGTTTCCTCCATCAGATGCCCCTTTGAAGAAACAATCCTATTTGCCTTACTCTTGATCAAGTTTGGGAGTGCTTAAAAATAAGCACTTATTTTGGGCCAAAACCACACCAATAAGCACTTATTGCCATTTGAGAAATAAGCCTAAAATAAGTGTTTATTTAAAAAATAAATGCTTATCGAAGAAGCCTAACTGCCTAAGGCTGCATTTGGCATTCTTTATTTTAAGGACTTCTCCTTTTTCCTGTTAAGAATTCAGTATTTATAGGGGCATTTTAACTGCAAAAAGAAAATAAGTCCTTAAAATAAGGAATGCCAAATGCAGCCTAAAATTCCATCCTTTTTACGTGCTTATACAATAAGCACTTATTTAAAATTTTGATTCCAAACTACTCCCTAGTCAGATTTCAAAATGCCACTTATGGCCTTCATTAGCCGAAAACATAGGGTTTGGCTCTTCAATAGTTTCTTCTCCATCATCTTCTCCAACCAGCGAGGAACTATAACTCGACCGATCAACCAGGTAAGTATCCTCTCTTTTCTAGTTTTTTTCTCACCCTCAAACGATCAACCAAGTAAAATGTTTATTTTTTGGTTTTTTTTTATTTTTCATTTTATTCTTCGAACCAGCCCTAATTTCCTTAGTTTCTTCTCCATAGTCTTCTCCAACCAACACAAAACTACAACTTGACCAATCAACCAGGTAAGGTATCCTCTCTTTTCATTTTGTTTTTTAGTTTTCCCATCCTCAAATGGTCAACCAGGTAAAGTTTTTTTTTCATTCTTTTATGTTTTGTTTTATTCTTCGAACCAAACCTAATAAGATGTTTTTCCTCTATTCCAGGTTGGGGTTTTCAAAGCTTGAAGTCGGATTTGGTTATGAATGTCAACTCAATCTCTGTGGGTTTGCCCCTTGTGTTGTGAATGCCTAATGTAAATTGTTGACTTGAACCATGGATATGTCTGATGTTATTGTCTAATGTAAAGTGTTTCCTAAGATGGATAATAGGATGGCCACTTCATATATAGTTCCTTATGATCAACTTCACATATGTTTGCTTTACTGTTTAAAAATCTATTAAATCATTATACATGTGACACTCTTAAAACGAGGGTTAAAGTTGTGTTTTTAAATGAATAAGTGTTTATTGGAGAAATAGACCACCAAATGCCTATTATGATATTAGGGCTTATTTTTTAAAATAAGCACTTAAAAAAGTTGGGTGCTGAACACAAATAAGTACTTATTCGAATAAGCACTTGTTTTAAGCATTATTTTTAAAAATAAGCACTCTTAAACTTGGCCTTAATCATCTCCCAACAATCTTGGTAAAAAGCTATTGTCAAGTCATCTGGTTCTAGAGCTTTTCATCTATCCATTGAGAACACTACCTTCGTAATTTCTTCCATCTCAAAATCCCTTTCCAAAACCCTTGCCACTCCTGAATCCAACCTTGGCCAATCTAACCCCTCCACCATTACTCCTACATCAACCACCTTCTTATAAACATTCTTAAAGTGATCCACAAAACATTATGCAATTTCCTCTTCGATCCTCAAGATTTCATCATTTATTTCCAATTTATCCACAAATTTTTTTTCTTCTTCTACAATTGGCTATTGCATGAAAAAATTTAGTATTATTGTCACCCTCCTTAATCAACTTATGTCTCAACTTCTACCTCCATGAGCAAAATCTCCTTTAATTCCTTTTTTAAGGTCCAACTACTCAACTCTAGAGGTCACTCTAAACTTTCTTTCCTCATCTCTTACAAAATGTTCTCTATTGCACTCCTTTAGTTTGTCTTTTAAATGTTGTATCTTCTTGTGAAACCTCACTCATTTTCATTCAATATCCCACACCTCATTCCACCATTCTTCCACTCTACTAGTAAAATCCAGATGGGTAAGCCACATGATTTCAAATTTATAAGGAGTAGGTAACTCTAAGCAAGGCCTCACCATCAACCCTCCCAAGCTACATTAAATACAAACTTATCTAGCTTTGAACAAATAGGGGAGGCTTGTAAGTTGGACCAAATGAAAAGGGTCTATTGAGTCGGAATTTCTTTTGGGTTAATCCTTGATAAACTCATTAAACCTTCCCATGCAGTGGAAAACACCTGATTGGGATTGATTGTCTCATTTGTAAATCTTATCACATTAAAGTCCCCTCCTAGACACTAAGGCCCATCCCA